GCATAAATTTTATCTTGTGGATCAATTAAAGTGACAGAGAGGTGTGCATAAACAAAAGATTATGGAAGCAGAAAGGAAGTCAAATATTGTGTCAGGGTCGGAGACATGTTACCTGTGAATGATACATGCTAGTTTTAAACGGGGAACTTGTTGAGTTGATTAGATGCATATCTCAATTTTAACCTTTTACTTGGCTTTGGCTATTATTTAGGCAAGTTCTTTTCCCTCTTCATACTGCAATGATTTTATTGCCCTATCCTAATTCCAGAATGTCTGTCTTGCAGCAAAAGTCCGGAAAACAAGTCATCTAGAGTATCAAAGTCATCAACTAATGCAAATAATTATGGTTCAGTACCTTCTCAAAGTTCAAGTGTACCTGAAAATAGTACTGAGGATGACATGGATGATTTTGATCCAAGAGGAACTTCTACCAGTAAGTATTTTGAAAAAAAATATATATCTCCAATACTGTAGTTGGTCATTCTATTGATCTATTCATTTTAGAGGAATTTGTTACCCATATAAGCTCACAAGTGAGGTATGCCATTGCCCTATACCAAGCTTCAACAACATTTTTTTTTCTCTCTTCCAAGAGATAATGTTTCTTCCAAAGAAAACACAATATCTTCTAGGAGAGCATCTCTCCATGGGAGAACCATCCCAATCAACATCACAACATCTAGAGACTTGGGTATTTCCTTTATCTTCATAGAGTAATCCTTGTCCTAGAGCCTTTTTGATACATCTTAAAATGCCTTCTTAATACATCTTAAAATACGGATGACAACATTCCAGTGATCAATACAAGGATTCTGCATGAGCTAACACAACTTCCACTGCAAAATACAAATCTGGTTTATTAATAGAAAGATAAATAAGTTTTCTAACCAATCTTCTAAATCTTTCTGTATTAGAGAAAACTTCTCCTTATTCAGCCATTAATTTTTTATTTGGATCCATAGAACAATCTACTTGTCAAGAGCATAAAACCCAAAGGATGTGACTTGACTTGGACCACAAATGTAAGAATGAATTATAGAAAAGATAGAGTTGCATCTTGTTTCAGTTATTTTTGGAAAAGATTGAACATGTTTTCCTAATTTACATAACTCAGTCTAAGAAGTTTGCTAGGTTCAAAAATCATCCTTTTTAATTTTTATAAATGTGGATGATGTAAGCGATTATGCAAAAGCTTAGGAGGTGGGGATGCTAAACAAGACATTGACATTCTAGTACAAAGATAGTAGTTTCTCTAAATTCATGTCCTTCACCAATCAATCGACTTGTACCACAAAAAAGGAATTGACATCAAAGGTTATGGAGTACTTTAAAGATCTAACTAATTGACTTAAGAAAATTAGGTTTAAAGGACACTTAGGGTCAAGAACATGCTTTAGGTTTAAGGAGGGTGAAAGGGTGATTTGACTAACTCCCTGAGAGGTAAGTTTAGGTCTATTGGCTAAAGTAATAATATGAAGAATTTTAGGATGAGAAATAGAAGAAAATAATGATGCATTATCAGAAATGAATGAAAGACAGTGCTTGACTGCCAAACTTTAACTTGAGATATTCCTGATACTATTCATTAGAGAAATTTAGATTTGGAAATATGCACTGTCTTGTCAGGAAAGCCATGCGTCTTGTCAGGAAAGCCATGTAAAAAGTAACAATTTTCTTGGGTGTGACCCGTTCTTTTACACTGTGTGCATTGAGGATGTCCTCTACCACGAGAACTTGCTCGTCACAACTTCCCTTTTCAAGAGTAGAACTTATGTCAGAGGAGATAGTCTCTAAATACATGTTGAAGAAGGTTGAGGCAGGAGATTGTCCAATAATGCATTAGAGAAAGCAGAAGGCAACCTTGGTTTTCAATCGAAAGAAACCTGATTAACATTAGAAGACTTCACCAAACGGTTTCAGAATGAAGAACAAAGGGTAGAAATGGGCTCACTGTGACTTGTGACTTGATTTTTTCTGTTCAATAAAAAGAAATATTAATCTATTCATTGAAGTTGAGTATAGAGTACTGTGGTGCACATTTTACTGTTCAATGTGTGATTCTCGTTCAGCTTGTACTTACATGTCTTCAAAATTCATCCTTGAAGGCTAGTTGTCCAGGTAAACAAAGTTTCTTCATTAAGCATCCAACACTACTCAATGTCAACTATCCATAATACCCAAGTCCCTATCGTAGACACTCAAACACTAGTAGAACCCTCCCTTAGAAGTTAGTTCTCAAGGAGCCAGGCCACTTTTAACTGAGTACTCCATTGAGCATTCCATACTACTTGATGTTCATCTTTGGCATCGCTTTTCTTTTTTTCTTTGTTTTGGCCTGCTTTCTTTATTCTTATAATGAAAGACTAAGGCCATTTGCTTCTGAAACAATCAATGAAACAATCAATGAACAATGTTTCTGTAAGTTTTACACCCTCTATCAAACCAGCCACTAGCCACTGGCCCATAAAGAAGAAAAACCAAATTAAGCATGTGGTGATAAAAAACATTTTGCTAATGTCTCAAGTAGTAAAAGATGACTATGGTATTGTTTTCTCAGGAATTGTTTCTCAATAACAAAAGTCAATATGTGAAAATTATTTGAACTTGATTGAAGTGAGAATTTCATTTGATTTCTCTAATTTACCATAAACATAATATGCACTTTCAGTTGCGGGGTTATTTTACCTTTTAAATGATATGGAATAATTTCATTCTTTCAACAGAAACTTCGGCAGGAAACTCTAACCAAGTTGATCTCTTTGAACAAGATTTAATTGGTGACTTCATGGATGCTCCAACATCTGTTCCTGTAGAGAAGCCAGCAACTGGTAATTTGCCAGAGGTTGATCTTTTTGCAGATGCATCATTTGTATCTGCAACAACTCAAATGGACAAAGGAGCTAGTTCTCAACCACAGGTTAGATTTAGATTTTATCATCTATATTTTTTAGTATTACACTTTATTTCATGTCAGCTTCGAGTCACCCCAAATGAGGATATTGCCAATGTTTCTCAAATATGATCATTTGACTTGACCATATACCATTGAAGTAAATATACTGGTCTATTTTTTATGTTGAAATATAATTTTATTTCATTTCTAAAATAATGTTTGATAATATAATTATAATTAACTGTAAAAGTTGGCATGCATAAGTGGTTATGGAGGGGAATCAAGACCGGAAGGCAAGGTGCACCATTTGTAGTGTTAATGTTGTGCAATGTTTTCACATGGTACCAAGTGTATTAATTGCATGTGAGAAAAAATTGTTTCTTAATTTTAAAATTGTGATTGTGAATCACTCACGGGAGAGAATAACAAATTTACAGGCTTACCTTCTTTCTCTATATTTTTTGTCACAGTGCTAAAGTTCCATTTGTGTCTTGTTGATCATGTGTGTATAGGCTGAGGTGGATCTATTTGCTTCACAACCCGCTATTTCTACAGTTACACCAACAGTTGACTTGTTTTCCATTCCTGAACCGGTAGTGCAGCCAGATAGCAAGCCAGAGAAATCTGGTCCTGTGGATAACAGCTCGTTTGATCCATTTGCTGCTGTTCCTCTTAATAATTTTGATGGATCTGATATTTTTGGTGATTTTACTTCTCAATCTGATTCGTTGTCTTCCCAGCCCTCCAATAATGTTGTCAATGATGACAAACATGATAATATCGCTGGTAAATCATTAGCAGACTCTAAACTTCCAGCTAAAAAGGATACTTTCCAGGTGAAGTCTGGTGTCTGGGCTGATTCACTAAGCCGCGGACTGATTGATCTCAATATAACTGCCCGTAAGTTAATTAGCATGACTATTAGTTTTATATTATCTGTTGTATGGTCCATTTTCTTTCTAGAGTATATTCAAGCACCTATGGGACATAATACGGTGCCTCTAAAAATTAATGCGTTGCATTCTCTTATATGATATATATATTTAAGATGCAATAGTCTTGCTAAAAGATAAGTACATTATTAATTGGGTTGCATGATCTTAGCCTAGTATGTTCATCCACTTCCCCTTTGCTTCACTTTGCTTGAGCAATATGATTGAGTGCTTTCGTGTAGTAAATGTGGTCTTAAGAAGTGCAACTTGTTCTGGTATTGTTTTTGCAGCTAAAAAAGTATCCCTTGCGGATGTTGGGATTGTGGGTGACTTGAGCGATGGATTTGACGGAAAGGAGAAAGGCCCTCCACCTTCATTTTATATGGGGAGAGCTATGGGTTCAGGTTCAGGAAGTATTGGACTCGGTAGGTCTGGATTCACTCCTTCACAACCAGCACCTGGAGACGACATATTCTCAAACCTTGGCTCCCAACAATATCAATTCAGTGGGTTCCAGAAGTAAAAATCTGACTCATCCCAATCACATTTTCACTCATTCTTTGTGTGTCGGCACTTCAGAGCTTGTTAAGCTTTTTGGCATGGTTTTGTTGGTATATATTTCTCAATATTTTGTGATTATATTATTTTAAACCTTAAGCACTGTTGCGTCTAAAATGCTGTTCATGTCTGATCGATTGCCATCCAGCGGACTAAAAGTACCGAAACATATGGTGGCACTACTTTGAGTTGTAAAATATCCGTGTCAACTATAAGAGGTTTCTGTTGATGTTGTTAGAGACCATTTTACTTTTGCTTCTTCCCTTGTGCCTAACACTTGTGTCTTGAGACACCTTCAAAGAATGGGGTGACGGAGAGGTCTTAATAAGTAAGACATGAGAGGATATTTGTTTTCTAATAATATTTGCCATTTTGAACAATCAAACGGAAATGAGAGTTTATCGTGAGTTAGAGATTTTATTCGAACTTGTGCGTTTCTTTTTTCATTAACTAGATCCGTGGGAGGAGTTATCTAATACCTGCCCATCAGACATCGGTTACTTGGACATGGGTTTTCTGCCCAACTTTACCTATGATGCCAAATTAGTCTATGAGTGCAACAGTAGATTTTCGTGTTCGTTTTATCATCAAATTGATTACGTAATAATGCTTATTCCTCACAATAAATCAAAGCTTAAATGAAACTGCCTTTAATTTCTTTTGTTTGTTGTTTTTATCTAACATGGGATAAGGTTCTATTAGGAAGAATTTCAAATTTTTAAAATTCAAATAACAATTTGAATCGTCGTATAAATGTTTTTAAAATCTCGTTTAACTTTTTTTCATATTCTCAAATTTAAGTTGATTTAACTTAATTTTAAAAAATATAAGAGGAAAAAATAAAAGAGAGGGGGAATGAAGAAGTAGGTATAAAAGTTTAAAAACAAGAAGTTATTGGAAAATTAATTACAAACTTATAAATCATCCATTGTTGAGTTGGCATATCATTACGTTGAGTGGTTCCGTATTTATGACTAGTGGCAGAGGATTTTAACTCAGCCTTAAATGAATAATCATCTACTATAATAATAATAATAATAATAAAAAAAAAAAAATATTAATATGAAATAAAAATATTTCATTCATTTTTAACTTTTGTTAATTTTTTTTTTCACTTTTCCAGTAGATACAGGATGGGAAAAGGAAGCTCAAGTATTAGAAATGTCACATCTCTGCCCACACAACTCAAGTCCAACTATCAGAGGCAATAAGGCAGGAACCATTGGATAAGAGAAAAGATTTATTGCAAAAGTTTAGTTGAAAGAGAAGTAAGGCACAGGGCATTTCCTTACTACATATCCAAGATTCTACCCCGTAACATAGCCTCAGCTTTCCTCACTTCCTTCACTGGTCCGATGATAAAGACCTACGTCAAGGAAAAGAGGATCGTAAAGAGTTTAATAACACGTATTAAAGGGTAACATAATAATAGAATGTCACTGTAGATGAACTTCCGAATAATCAACTATAAAGGGTTTCTGAATATCATTGTGATTCTCAATCATATCCATATGTCGGCTGCAGAGGATCCTTTCATATGCTAATTCAATCATGAAATAGAATTTTGAAAAAGTTAATGGTGCAGTTTCATGTCTTTTTCACCTCAGATTATGTTATCCCTTCAGAGCAATAAAATTAAACATAATATGTGGTACGGAAAACAGAGAAATAGAAAAGGTATAATAATTTATCAATTCCAATTAACAACCGATAAATAAAAAATTCTCAAGCATTTAAAGAAGCTGAGGCTTATGAATCACATGGAACATGATGCTGATATACGAACCTTGTCAGGTGGGCCCTTGGGACCTCCGGTGTGAATTTCCGCACTGAACCAATGAACACATGAAATATTAATACAAACAATATGGATCAATGCATAACAGTCAGTTTGGAATCTAAGACTGTATCACGATTTCAAGTGAGTCTCCGAAAGTTAATTAACTAAAACAGAAGTCCCTAAAAAGTATTTCTCTTACGTCCGACCTTCATATGTCCTGTATTTAGTTAATTTATCCTTGTGAATTAAATTACATTTTAATGATAGAATACAAGGTCAGATCTACATTTTGATAATAACATACAGAGACTTGTCTGAAACAAAAGACAAAGGTGATGATGACATATAGAGACTTATCCGAAACAAAAGACAAATATGAAAGACGAAAACTGTTTTCAGGAACTTCTTAATTTATTTGAATTCAATAACTAATTTAAATTGACGAACAGTTTTAAAGACCAAGTTGGCCATTAGCATTCACTAATAAACCAAAAAAGGCATGTATTTACTAAACCAAGAGAATAGTAAGGAGAGACAAACTATTACTTGCAAGAAGCCTTGATTAATAAAATTGTCGCCCCTCTTTTCCCAATAACACGTCCCATCTTTCCAGGGGGAACATCAAGAACTGAAAGAATTTCCTCCTCGGGACCATTACCATCAGCATTCAAGCTATCTACAAAGTAGAAGCACATTCTTTAAACAATCAAATACGCATTCCTGGCACAAACATAACATAAACCTACAAATGAAATACTTGTCAATAATAAAATAATCTAACAAAGTGGACCAAAGTTCCACTACCAAATAATTCATTTTGCATGATCCTGTGCGAGGAGTAACATTAAACCAGAGAAGAACCCCGACTTTCACCTAAAGTTCTAGTTCATGTTAAAAAAATTCTTTTCATGAGCCTTCCTAGAAGCTGCACAAGTTCAGTATTTTAGGCTAAATTTTAACCACCAAATTATGCCATAACCCTTAAGTTAAACATTACGAATGGCAGCATGAATCTTTTGGTTTTAGTTTAACATCAAACTCTAATGGCAGAAAGCATAGGAAAACTCAAAGGCAACTGGCAATATAATGAATAAGGAAATATGTTTTGCACAAGATTCTTGTCAGGAATTTATATAGACCTGGTATCGAAGGTAGAGATGGCCAATCAGCAAAATTGTTACTGTTCACACAGAAACAACGGCAATACAATGCACCACGAACTGCAAGATACCATAAAGATCGCTCATTTAATTTCTCCATCATTTGGTGATAAATGTAGAGAAGAAAACGAACATCATCAGCAGCAGCACGGACCATTAGCTCAGATAATGGTCGGTGTGTCCAGAACTTAGGGTCCTGACAAAACATTTACAAATAACATTACTATACTCTTCTCGCTGACGTTGACCTGAACTCAAAAATCAATATAAACAGGTGGACATATAAATTTATGCAAAAAAGAAAATGATATGACACAGATTAACAGTACTTTATTGTTTCGCTCATATAGAAACTTTTTGGATCATCAATCGGATGCTTTGAACTGTATGGTATCAATCAAACCTTAAACATAACATCACTAGTAGACAGCAGATGATATGCCTATTCTGAAAAGTAGATTATTCTATCAATCAAGAGTATTCTGAAACCAACCTGTCGAAGGAGGTCACGAACTTCTTCCTTCTCAACATATGATATGCCTACATGTAAACCCCTCAAAGTGAATCAAATGACTCGGGAACTTATTCAGGATTCTTAGTCATTATCTAATTGAGGTCATTATAAAAAATCACGACTACCAAAACCATTTCAATGGATACAATGACAAATAGTACCACACTACCACAATAACGTGGATCGGCAAGGAGGCCAACAAATGAAATGTAGTCATCTCGCAATCTCTTTCGTCCTTCTTGATCCTCTATTAGTGAGTAAGCAATCTGAACCAAATAAGAAACATGATTAAGCAATCAACAAAGAGACAAGGATGAAGACATATGAACATACAACAAACAAGTTAAGAATTTTATGGAGTTGCTAGTATTTTGTAGCAATAATAGAAGTGCAAAATTTGCTAAAGAAACTTATTTGTATTACAATTTCAACCTATTTCCAACCTTTGACATTTCCTAATTTCAAATTATCACTTATATGAGAGAGACAAGCAAGAAGTCCAACTTCAAGAACAACACCTTAGAAGAGGTGAAAATACAGGTCACCTGTTAAAGTTTAGGACGTATGCATAAAAGTCCTCAATGTTTAAAAAATCATACATCCGTGTCTAATATAAATGGTGCAAAAAAACACCTCTACTAGAGCAACTGTTTAATTCCCATGTAAAAAATGACACATGACATAAACATAACAAATTTACTGGCAGAAATGTCTGAATATCTATGCTTGGCATTCAGAAGTCAAATAGCAGACAGCAGACCAAAAGCGTATTGGAGCAGTTACAACACAGTTAGACCAAAAGCGCTTCATTTCATGTATGAATGTGTATTGGAGTAGTTACAACACAGTTAGACCAAAAGCGTTTCAAAACATTAACACCCAATAAAAAGCTAGCACCTTCTATATATTCTTGCTATCTTCAATGACCCAGATAACATGAACGAACAAACTTCTCCATTGCATTTGTCCAACCAAACGTTCTACCCAAAAGCAACAGAAAAAAAAAATCTATCCGAATAAAATCACTAAAGCAGATTTTTCTGAGCTTTATTTTTTACAAGGGGGATATTTTTATTTTTAGAAAAGCACAAATAGCTTTTAAAACCTAAAAATTTCCTAGTTAAGGAGTACAAATCAAGTTTCACTTAGCAAGAACTCTTTGGTGGCATCATACACCTTTTTCACTAAATCCTCATTGCATTAGTCTCCTATTTTCCGATATAAGTTATGTTACCTAATAATTAAATTATATCAAATATAAATGCAGAGACTCTAATTCCATTTCACAAAGTTCAACTTAATAAATTTTCTAGGCATTTTCATTTGTCGAGGTTAGTGTTTCTCCAACTGTGGATACAGCACAAAAGGATGGAGGGTCCATTTCTCCAGCAGCAACATCCTACAGCTGAATCTATTCTCTGCTCAGGAATCTTAATACACTGAATATCTACAAATTGAGGTTTATGAGCTGACTTTGTTTGAATCAAAGTGTCCACCAAGTCACAAGGGCATTTATTGTCAGCAGCTTTATATATGATACAGCTATCACAAGGAACAGCCACGCTTGAAAAAAAACTATTCTTCGGCCACCAATAATATTTTTTCCTTATAACAAAATTAATAATAAATTATTTTAAACAAGACATCAATCCATGTTTAATTCGAATCTATATTGAAAATTCATTGTGATTTTTTAATTTTATTTCTTAAAGTAGTAGTTCTGGCAGTTGACCCAAAAACTGTATTATATACATAAGTTCCTTCAATACTCTGCTTAATAAATTATTCAGCAACTAAATTTGAAGCATCCTAATCGTATAACTATATATAGAAACATTAGCAGTTGTAACATCAGAAGTGGATGTACAATTGTCCGGCTTAGGTACAGGCATATGATTTGACACTGATATAGTTGAACTTGGATTGCTAGTAGCAGGTCAAGCAGATGAAGCACCGAAAGAACCCAGTGTCTCACATTGCTGAGGTGAGGGAAAGGTTCTGAGAGCTAGATTTGAATGGCCTATTGGAGTAGTAGTGAAAAGAACGGCTCGAGAGAAACTCATACACAGGGAAAGCTGAACATTGAAAAATTCTGGCTGGGGATAGGCGATACAGGAGGAGAACAGGCCAATCCAGACTGATGGCTAGCAAATGTGGTGTTTGACATGCTGGTGAGATGCTAGAAGGATAGATGGGTCACACATGGAGTTTCCTGGCTTTGTGTGTGGGTCTTCACATATGAGCATCCTCAAACACCAGTTGTAGGGTCAATTTGGCAATAAATATTAGGAAATCACATCAGGATGAATAAACACAGACATGTTGGCTGGGAAGGTGCATTCTAGCAGACAAGGATAGAAAGAAAAATGTACAGTTCAGGAGATCATAATAGGTACTTAAGCACAGGGAATTACTCACGGGTCAGAAACACTATGGGTTAGCAGTCCCAATTTTTCTAGGTAACCAACTGAACAATAATTACATAATTAGGTCGCAAAGATGGTAGCAGGCTTGTAAGTGCTGATAACAAGTTAAACAAAAGTTTGAGAAACAACACAAATATGCTAGAACAAAGCGCACCAATCTCTTAGTATGGACACAATCAATTAAGGAGATAAGCAATACAGATCAAGGATACAAGCTAATTTGCAGGAATCAAATAAATACAGTTCACTAAATACTAATATTCTACTCATAATTGCAGGTATCATCATAAAATAAAATGCACATTTAATGCTACACAAAAGGATAGGGATGTAATCATGTAATAAATAAATGAGTAATTGGTAACAAAAATTAGTAAGTAAACTAATGTAAAGTCGAGCACGTCCAGTATATTAAAGATGGACTGATAAAGCACAAATTCAAACATTTTGAAAAGATAATAATCATATCACTATTAAATATAAATCAAGCCTAAGTACCTGAATTTAAATTTGAGAGCAGAATCAACTGAATAAAACTATTGTAAAAGAAAAACATCTTGGAGGAAAAATAACAGAAACCAAGAACATTAATCTATACTTTTACTACATCTGTAAGCTGATATACCATGTTGCATTCCAATATCAACAACCATTGCTCAAGGGAAAATTGTATCGGGTTAAGAAATATGTGATATTTTTTGGAAGCGAATAAAGTTCATTTTGCCAACTTAACAAGACATATAAAATAGTAAAGAAGAAGGGGAAAAGATGTGGTCCAGTAACAAGAAAGCTCACCTGAGTATCCACCACATTGTTCAACTTGATGTCAAACTGAAAGAAGAGTGCCTGGTAAACAACAAAAAGTCTATAAGTGCTTTATATGGCCAGACAAGATAGCTAAATGCTAAGACCACAAGTCAGGCCTCTTAAACATTTTTTTTCCACTAATTAGCACATTGCACAAATTTCAACGTATACAAAAGTGGGGTAAGAGAGAGGGCAAGGAAGCAAACAATCAAATAAATCAGAGACCTCACTGTCCCGTTTGCAATCATGAATCACTTTTGTGATGTAACTAGATTCAAGTGCAGGCTTACACGCTTTGATAAGCTCTTCTCCCCCTTCAATCGCATCAACCAAGTACACAGCATCAGGAAATGCAAGCTGCAGAAACAAGAATCTCAGATGAAATTTCATGCCAACAATGTAAACTGCAAGTATATCACCACGCGCTCATCTCACAAAATAACTAAAAAAAATAATAAGTCCTAAAAGAACACAATCACCAGCATAAAATAAAAACACACAACTAAAATCACAACACAACATAGGAAAATCGGAGGTTTACTTACCTACCACTTGCACTTCTGTCTACATGTATGTTAGCTCCTATTTACTTATTTACTTAGATACTTGTTATACCAAAGAGTTTCGCACATTATCATAGAACATTCCAACTTCAGCATATAACATATATTCACCTAAATTATCATTAACATGTACTACTCATACAATAAGAGTTTCTCAAATTGACATTGACATATATAGCACTCCAACTTAGAACAATGTATATTATATAAATTCATCATTGCAGTTGCCAAAACTGAAATCTAAAACGAACGAGAGCACCANTCAACCAAGTACACAGCATCAGGAAATGCAAGCTGCAGAAACAAGAATCTCAGATGAAATTTCATGCCAACAATGTAAACTGCAAGTATATCACCACGCGCTCATCTCACAAAATAACTAAAAAAAATAATAAGTCCTAAAAGAACACAATCACCAGCATAAAATAAAAACACACAACTAAAATCACAACACAACATAGGAAAATCGGAGGTTTACTTACCTACCACTTGCACTTCTGTCTACATGTATGTTAGCTCCTATTTACTTATTTACTTAGATACTTGTTATACCAAAGAGTTTCGCACATTATCATAGAACATTCCAACTTCAGCATATAACATATATTCACCTAAATTATCATTAACATGTACTACTCATACAATAAGAGTTTCTCAAATTGACATTGACATATATAACACTCCAACTTAGAACAATGTATATTATATAAATTCATCATTGCAGTTGCCAAAACTGAAATCTAAAACGAACGAGAGCACCAACCTGCATTATGCAGAGAGTGCCTTTACGACACAAGTCAACACCCTCGAAATCAAAGCCAATGACGAGCTCCGATTGAGGCGAGGGTTCAAGGAACTCGACGGGAAGTTGCGAGGCCAGCGTCACGATGTGAATCGGAACAGGCGATTCATCTTCCACTAGACTCTTCTCACCTAATTAATCGCAAATCAAATTCGTTATCAAAATCCTTTTCCACCGTAACCGATAACACACCCATGCGAACACGAACAGAAACTTAACCGATAAAGATATTATAGCGAAAAAACAAACGATCCAAGCGTTGAACAGTTGGAAATTAAAATTTAGAGAATAATCGGAATTTTTTTCTTCGCATGTTCGTGTTCGAGAGAGAGAAAGAAAGAGTGAGATGAAGAAAACGAAACCCTAAAAATGTATGGGAATGAAGAGTGACCTTGGTGAGGGGAAGAAGAAGGATGAAGAGGAAGGTGTGTGAGAAAAGAGGAAGAAGGAGGAAAAGAAGAAGCCATGTGATTGGGAGTGAATGTTCAACCACATCACACCCTTCGCTCTTCTAAGCTTGCTCTGCACTCTTCTCTGCTAGCTCTCTTTTTACTACCCAAAAATGGTTACTGTTTTTCCATCTAATATTCAACACTTTTAGCCTTTTCACTATTAAGATTAGAGAGTAAAAGGTTACTAATTTAAGAAAAATAAAATGGAAAAGAATATTGCTCCGATTAAATAAAAATAACATCAATTTTATTAATATAATTGAAGTGAAAATTTATAAAATATTAAAATATTAATCTGTTTTCACTTAAAATAAAGTGAAAACTAGGATTACCATGTAATTTTAAGTGATGGTTGTATTCATTCATTTGATTTCATTAAAGGTTATTTGAAATTTCTAACAAAAATGACAACAAATATTTTAAATATGAAAGTAAATATTTATAGATAATTCAAAAGTAAATAATAGAAATATTATATATAATAAATTTGGTTTTAAAGAGCTCTCTGGTGAATTTTATATTTAAGTCATGTTTTGCTGGTGATTGTTTTCACAGTAAATAGTAAAATATAAAATTTTATAAAACATATAATTTAATGATAGTAAATAGTAAAATATAAAATTTTATAAAACATATAATTTAATGATAGTAAATAGTAAAATATAAAATTAAATATAAAAAAAATATTAAATGTTTTTTCTCTTTTTTCTTAAACATAAACTTTTTATTTTTATTTTATTTCGTTACCTGTCTCATTAATACTAAAATTATTAATTTTATATTTTTTTTATCTCGTGAAGATTCTTTTTGTATAATAAACTTTATGAACATCAAAGTAAAATTTTTAATTATATTATTTTTTATTTTAAATCATGATTGTGATTATCATAATTACTTTGATTTATATAGTTTTATTTTTCAGCTTTTAATAAAAATAATTATATTTACAAAGTATAAAATAATAAATTTATTTTTTAAAAGTGATAAAAAAGAAGTTACATTGAAAAATAGAAACAACTCAGATTCCTTTTTTTCATTTATACTAAATCAAGAATACAATGATTGAATTAAAATATATAAATTTTTTTTAAGTCTATTATTTTAGATTTTTCAAAATTATTGGTTAAGAGTTGTTAGTATATAAATCGCACTAGTTAATTATTTGGAAAAAAAAGGTATATTCATAATTTTGAGAGTAAATATTTATAGATAATAAAAAATATGATATCCGTAATAACTTTGTATTAATAAGTTCTTTAATATCATCATAAATTGTAAATTTAAGTTATATTTTACTAACAACTTGTGATTGTTTTGAAACTAAATACCAAAATTAATGAACAATATTTACATTTTGAAAAACAAAATGTTACCTTCTTGTTCTCAATTTGGTAGGTTATTGTAATGGTTTAAGTAACAATAAATCAAATATCTAACATAAAAAAAGTGTGTGGGAATAAACTTTCAAGCATTATGTTTAGTATCCGGTTTTAAAAATGCATCTATTAAATTCTAAAGTTGTAAAAATTGTATAAATGAAGTCCCTTCTATTAAATAACCTTAAACGGAGTTAATTCATGATCCGGAGTTAATTTATGATCACGTGCCTATAAAATATGAATTTTTTTTCTTCTCTCTCATATGACTCTTTCTGCAACGTTTCAACTTTTTCTCTCACTTCTATTTCCAATCATTGGCTGTCTTATGCAACTCATTCTTCTCTCTCGCTCTTCTGCATCATCCCTCACATGAGTTAAATGCAACTCCTTCTTCTCTCCTCTCTTCGGCATCGGTCCCTCACATCTTCTCTCGCTCACAACCCTTGATATTTACTTCTTTGATGTTTCAAAACTTCTTTGGCAATCATTAAATTCAAAGTTTTGTAAAAATAAAACATTAAAAGTCACACTGCAATAATAACACCCACATTTCCGAGGAAAACACATCGTTTTCTGTCCAACTATGCTCTTCCACCTTTAAACCTAACCTGCAAACCCAACACACAGAGACCATCTATCTATCAAACTTCTCTTTTCTCTTCTTTTTTTTTAGTTTTACGCCAACCCCCCACATACATTCCCATTACACCTTTTTGGCTATTGGCAACGAAACACAAAAGACCCCAAGACAACAACTGGCCGCACAAAAGAAGGAAAGCACAGAACATGTTGTCGGCTTTTCTTTTTTCTCTCACGATGATGGGTCTGAGCAAGCTCGGAACCGCGATAAGGGCGGTGACGGCGTTTACTCTGGTGGCCCTGGCCGCGGAAAACGTGTACGTGTTGTGGCAAAGGCGTCAGAGGCTCCGTCCGCGCGTGCGCGTCAAGCCGTAGGAGGCTTCAATGGAGCAATACCCTTTCATGGAAGACTCGGTGGCTCGAACGAACCTAACGAGGGGGCTGTCGTTGGGTTGGCGATGGCGTAGTTGAAGGCGGGGTCAGGAGGCCTAGACTCAACAAAAGAGGTGGAGGAAGAAGAGCAGTGGCGACGGAAGTTCCAGAAGAAGCACTCTGTTGTGCTTTAGATTCGTGGGAGGAAGAGCTTAAGAAGCTTTGGCACACAAAAATTGACGAGAAAGATGTGAGGGACTATGGAGAATAGATAACGAGAAGAAGTGGTTGCAGAAGAGAGCCATCGAGACTAATGATTAGAACAGAAGTGAGAGAAAAGCTAAAACGTTGCAGAACTAAAAGTTGCAGAAAAAGATGAGAGACAAGAAAAAAATTCATATTTTATAGACACGTGAATATGGAATTAACTCTTTAAGACAATTTAACAGAAAGGACTTCATTTATACAATTTTAAAATTTAATAGATGTATTTTTAAAACCGGGTAACTAATAGAAATTCACATCTTAATATGAGTACTAATATATAATTTATTAAATTCACCTCTTAATATGAGTACTAATTTATAATTCATTATTGTATTGGATTAGGCCTTTTTCCAATTGTTTTACAAACCATGGTGGTAGATTACAAACTCCTTTCAATTGGTTACTAGCTACCAAAACCAATATAAAAATATCATAATTTTTTTTTTACTTTAATGTTTGTCTTCTTTTAAGCATGTAGCAGAGTATCTCTCTATATTTTTGAAAACTATGTTCGGAAAAACACGTGTTATTTAAAAATACAATCAGGGTTGATTATTTTACAGAAATTGTAGAACCATATTTGTTAACTAGAAAAAAAAGTATCATGGATATAAATATTTTTACATTTCATGTAAGGTTGTCATTTTGTCAAATATAAGGAGAACAACAATTAAATAGAATTAAAATCTATATTTTAAAAAATTGAATAAAAGTTTATATTCATTGAATAGTAAAACACGTTAATTTTAATGAAGTTGTGTCTTATAAATAAAAAAAGCTTAATGTCGTCGACAGCAGGTTTCGAACCTGCGCGGGCGAAGCCGCAACAGATTTCAAGTCTGTCTCCTTAACCACTCGGACATATCGACTGTATATGCAAACGAAAAAAGTTATTTTATTTATTATCTACCATACTTTATTTATCTTTTTGCTATGCTTATAAATTGTCAAAAGCTAGTCTACACATAGAGGATCTATCTGCATAAAAAAAGTGATCTGTAAAAATTAAAGAATGTGTTTATAATTAAGTACACAATATTATTAATTAGATTATACATGTGAATCAACAATAATTCTTTATATTTTATAAACTACAGTACACTGAATCATCTTCTTAGGCATATAAGAAATGGAATAATAATCGGTGTTTATTATATTTAGTATTTTAGGCCACATGGTGTAGAATCATCATGCACTTATGTCCTTAATTGTTGAAATGCTTCCTGAGTCGCTAATAATCAGTATAAACATCTTCACAAAGTCTATGCTCATCTTTAGATTTTGTGAATCAATATTTGTCATCCTTCATAGTTACACAGACAAAGCCCTGGAGATTCATACAAGGAAATTTAGTATAGAGAAATTACGAGAACATGGAACTCTTCTCACTTTGAAAATGTATTACAACTAGTTGTGTAGTCTTTCCTTTATTGAATTTTTCTTTTCTAAAGAGAGTTTTATATGCCGCCCAATTGAACCAAGAACAATGGCATATCAGTCACACTTGCTCACAAACATAAAGAGAAATGAAACCCCCAAAACAACATACGCATAAAGCAACACAAAAGGACAGCAGTTTTCGGAATTGCATCAAAAACAAACAAAAAAGGTTGAATCAAATCAATAGGCCCACTAACATGATACTTTCCCGCTTAGGCTATATCAGATTGGGGCAAATAACCAAACATACAAACCAGTTTAAAATCACAGGCAAAGCCCAAAAAAGATGAAAAGCACAAGTAGACCGCCGCAACAAAGATAAACCAGAAACTCATTACAGCTCGTCAAAGCCTATTATTATTATTCTCTACAACAGCTGAGAATATGAGGGTTTTATCCAAAAATCCAGAATAGACACGCACGCACTCACGCATGCACGTGTAAAAATCTCAATATAAAATTTCGACCAAGAAAGAAGTAACCACCAAAGTTGAGGTTTATGTCGTATTGTGATGGGAGGAACGAGGGGATAAAAGGAACAAACATGAACATGCAAAAGATAAAAGATAAAAGGGGGAAAGGGAAAATGCTGGGAACGAAAAATCGAGAAGAAATTAAAGCGAAAGAGAAAGGATGATAGAGAAATTTCAAGTAGTTAATTCAACTATCAATAAATTAACTAAAATAGGTAAAATAGTATTTTTCTTTCGTATTATAATGACTTTTTTTTTTTTTAATTTCGGAAGCTCTATTCTCAATTATTTCTATTTGATTGTTAGGTTTAAGACTTTTTTTTCCAATTATTCTCATTTTTTTTTCAATCTAGTCCTAGAAAATGTAAGTTGTATTCAATTTAGTCCTTTTTACAAAGGCCGTTTAAATCGTTAACGGACGCCACCGTTGTTTCAGAGCTGCCGTTTTCCTCGGGTCTCTCCACCTTCGACGTTCGCCCGTCACCTCCTCAGCCTCACCGCGCTGCCGTGAATTGTTGCATCAACCGCGAGCGACCACCACGAGCTCCTCTCCGCGAGAATGGAGCACTTGTTAAACCCCCAAATCGCATGATCTTCCCCAACACAAAAAAAAAATCGTTAAGTTTTCTAACCCACCAACAACAATATAGCCCCCACATCATTCATCACCGAGGTCATCGTTGCTAGCGACGACCTCATTGGAAGTATTTCTGAAGCTGACACCAGTATCTCGTTGTTTCTTCATTCCCTTTCGCACGAAACATCCACACCGACCCCATGTCTTCATCTCCTGTGTCTGGCCAGTACCACCAACGTCGGTCCAGGCGCCGTCCTAGTCACGATCGAAATCGCCAAAGAACTTAAACGGAGCTGCCATCGCCAGCGTCGGGAATGACATCACAACGACCATGTAAGAGAGGATCGGTGTCGCCGCTGCTTCTGCAAGCCGAGATCACTCTCTACCCCAACTTCTCGTCCGGCTAGGGCGGTCAATCGTGCTGTCGCTGTCAATGAAGATTGGCTTTGACAAGGAAGGTGGTGGGAGTGGCGTCACGACCCTCCCAAACAACTATCAACCTTTCAGACCTCAATACACAAATTACATTTTTTTAGGACTACATTAAATAGCAAAAAAAAATTGGGCAATTTCGAACATTCCCAACCAAAATTGGGACAAAAAAAGTATTAAACCATTATGTTATCATGATTTGATTTAAAAAAACAAATCACTTTATTAAAAGATTTAATTGAATTAATAGTAAACATTCCAACCATTTTCTTTCTTACGTACACTAATAAATAATTAATCAAATATTAACCTTCTAATTAATCAAATATTAACCTTCTAATTTTATTGAAAAATCGTTAACTTGTTTTGTTTATGTTGAAATTTTAAAAAAAATAGAATGGGTTAAACATTAGTTTTTTATTATCATAATTATTTGTTTTATTTAATTTCACTATTTTTTTGTTAAAATTAGATGCCTATATATCTCAATCAAGAAAGGGATGTATTGATTTAAAACTCTGTTTTACCCTTCTTAAAAAAAAATTAAATGTATAAAATATGTTAAAGATTAATTTTTCAACCTTTTAAAAAATTAATAGATTAATAAATAAGAATAATGAAAGAAATCATCACAAGGATCTATACTGGATCGACTTTTGAAGAGTTTACATCCAATTTTCTTCTAATAATTAGTTGGAAGATAACTCACTAATAAAGATGTCAAGATTTACATAATACAAGATTCACATATGTACTCTAAATCTCAAATCACAACCGAATAAACTCCTAAAAGTGAGTCTATGCACACTCATTCTATGAACCAAGAACACACTCATAAGGGTGAGACAACGCACTCACTTTAGGAACATCATCCACACAACTAAGATAATCACAATTCATAGAATTACAAAAAAACAAAACCTGGTACATCCCTTATGCAGTTCTTACAAAGAATTTAGGATCTAAACACTTCCTTGATCTTCCCTTTCACTCTTGAAAACTTGAACCTTTGAATCTTCACAATTTATGTTGACTCCCCCAAAAATTCTCTCACAAAATGTTCTTGTTTCACAAATAATAGCTTTGAAAATATTTCACGTGTTTTCAAATAGAATTATACACATATAAAGCAAAAGATGCAAAACTGATATAATTGATCAATTAGGTTAATTCCTTAATCGATTAGACCCAACTCTCTGTTTTAATCAATTATGTTAATTCTTAATCGATGTAAAAAGACAACACATCTCTAGTGTGTTTATGACTCACCTTTAAGTGAATCTGAACGAACTTAATTGATTAGGTAGTAAGATTACACAAGATTTATACAATTTTACTATTCTATTCAACCAAGAATCTATCTTATATGAATATACTCCTAATCTAATAATCTAAGAAAGAACATTTAACAAGTTGATCACCAAAAACACATTTTACAAAACTTAGAGAGAGCTCCCCCCTCTCAACAATTTTAAATATCTTATTTTTTTTATTATTTTAAATGAGTATTTTTTTTTGCAAATTATAGGAATGCCATATGTATTTGTTAGTCTAAATGAACAAGTCATTTTAAGGAATAACATACCATTCATTCATTATTAGTATCCGTTTCACCAAAGAAGAAATCATATTACCTTCTTTGTTTTTAAAGCTCAGATCAAACCACAAATATTGAGATAAAATTGAAAAAAAAATGTTATAACAGTTTAAAAAAACTACTTAACCAATCAAATGACATGAAACTATTTTGATAAATTAAATATTCTATTTATTCTAGCCATTGGTATTCATATAATACCAAGATAATTCAAATTTTAGAAACAAAACTAAGGTCGTGGCCTACGTGTAATAAACTAGATTGCACACTCACTTTCATAGGAATACGTTATAAAGTTAAACAAGACATTCTTTCGTGTAAACAGTTTACTTTTAACGTATTAGTTGCAGCGACGGGACGAAAAGCTTCAGTGTATCATAGCCGGCTACAACTTCAAGATCCACAAATCAAGTCACGTATGGAAGCCACCATGAACTAATCTATCTATCCAGAACGTCGTTCCTGTCACAAAGAGAAACGAAATTATATTTGCTAAAATAAAATGGGGAAAGAAAGTCATTCAATTTATTTATCTTATAAACTACAGTTTCTATACTAAAAATGGGCTGTTTATGGCAATCACACAGCATCCATAATTATTTTTTAAAATAAAAGTACTTAACATGCCTAAAGAATAACAGTTTATAAACCAATAAAATTAGCAATAATGCTCTAGACATGACCTCGATGACTAATTCATAACAGGCAGTAATGGTAAATCATCATTATATAAATTGGAGGAATAGAATATTGTACAGTGGTCATGACTAAAATATGACTTAACAGATATATTATATATAATATATATATATGACACTGTTTATGAGTGCTTAAGGTTAAGAGAGGAACCTATCCAGCGAAACGCAACCGCCGTTTGCTGCTAGGAAGAATTCCTTGCTAATAATTTTTAAACTGGAAAAGGCGCAATATTAGTTACAGTTGATTCTATGTTTTCCTTGAAAGAACACAAGAAAGAAAAGAGAAAGAAAAGTGCACAAGCATACTAGGCATAAAACTTACAAATATAGGCAAGCAATATTCCCGTATCCAAAAAAAGGGTAGCCCCACGCTGAACCAGTGAACCTATCATCAACAGTTAATTAAAATTCAGAGTTAAACCACATGCAGAAGCAACGAAAAAGATTAAAAAAAACACGGCAATTAAAATGGAAAAGTTGGGTATTGAGTGACATGCAACAAAAGTTTTTGTTAAGTGGTTATCATTGGAGGGCAAGCAAATAAAAGTAATGTTATCATAAATGTAGCATTTTTAGTTGATCACAATTCACCACCCATAATGATGGAAAAGGCTTCAGGCTAATCCATGCACAGAACTGGAAATGAACCTTCAAAGAGCATGAGTAAACTGACACAGCGGAAATCTTATTATGAGATATAGAGGTAAAGCTATGTTCAGTGGCTAAAGAAAATAACTCTACTCCAAGGATGGATTAGAAAGCTAGAGGAACGTGAACAAATAGAAACTTCGAAAGGAGGCAGCGGAAGAAGCACAAACAGAGGCTCGGTGAAAGGGGTTGGTATGCGTGGAGTGTCTCGATGCCTAGCTAGAATTCCTAAATAAGGAAAGGTGGCTAGAGGAGGCTAAGGTCTCTCTCTGGCAGGTGACAGTGAGTAGAATGAAGCTGGAGTCATCTCAACAGCAATTCATTACATAAAACTCAAAGTAGATACAATAGGGTGGGAGAGGTGGATTTATAGAATGATCCAAGTCTCCCCCATGGTGCCTAACTACTAACCTAATGATCAAGCACCTCTCAAAGTTCAATTGACACGTAGCAGCCACGATTTACATGCATGTACCACGTGAAAAGAAATCTATAACATGTGGGTGCAGAATGGCCACCAACGCTAAGCGAGCTAGGGCCGGCGTTGGGTGAGCTTCCTACTGTGCTAGCCAAGGCCAGCTTCTTCAAAGTGAGAATTTGCCCCACTTCTTCCTCTTTTGATGCATCTTCACGTCTTTCTTGGAGTTTTCTTGCCATGCTTTGAGTGATAGGTCCTTGAATAGAGTCTAGGCTTGGACCTAAGACATCATCCCCTCCTTCTCGAGAAGGATTTGTCCTCAAATCTGGTAGGACGTCTTTACTATGAGATACCTGGATTTATTTTAGAAGAAGCATCTCCCAGTCTTAGAAGCAAGCCATCTTGAAATGACTTTGTTTCTATTGGGATCCATATGAATTCCTCTGGGATCAAATGTTAATATTCAATAAGCATTAAACATATCTCTAATTAGTATTGTTCTAATAGATAATTTATGTAGGAAAGCATCTTCAGAATAAGGATTCCTCATATTTTGAATTATAGTTTTGAAAAAAAACTGGAAGTCCTAATTCATAAGATCCTTTGTTTTTGTATTGAGTTAATTGTAACCACAAGGGTAACAATAACTCAAGATTTGAGTTGCCATATTTTGAAAAGTGTAACATAGTAAAGGATAAAATGGCAACTTGTTCAAAAGTGAAGTTAAAATTTGAAAACTTAATGATAATTGGAGAAAAGTTGAAGAGTTGGAAACGTCCCCTTAAAAGTCTTGGTTCCTTTGTAATTATGGGAGTGGAAGTTGCCCTAGTAACACTGTCCTATGTAACACTTCCTTCTTGATAGGAATTTCTTCCCTCTCTTTTGCTCTTCTTTCAAACTCTTCCTTTTATCTCTTTTCTTTTGCTACCTTTTCTTTTCTCTCTTCCTCTTCTCTAATTTCTTTTTCTCTAAGAGCTTCTCTTTCTCTCTATTCTAGCTCTCTTAATTTTTCGTCTCATGCAAGCTTTTAAATCACTCCAATCTTGAATGGGGAGTTTTCTACCTCTCTTGACATTATCATGTCTTTCACTCCACCATTTACTTGCATGTCCTTCAAAACTAGCAATGGTTAGGCTAAGAATATAAGATTTACTATTTCTAGCAAAGAATGGATGCAGCTTTTCCATTTTCCTTTCCCAAGTTAAGTATGATAAGGCACTTATGTCTTTACAAAAGAAAGGAATATCTCTTTCAGCTTTATACTACAACTCATCCTTAGTCCTATTCTGATAGGTTTCTGATAACTCTCAACTTCCTATCATATTCTCTTCTTGCCTAAGATGCATTTCTTCTTTTCGCCTTAGATTGGGTTCTTTGGAAGTTTGTTTCAAAGCATTGGATTTTTCAAAAGCACTCAATCTAGGGTGAAATGGATGATTAGACATCTTTTGATTTCAAAAGTGCATTCCCAATTTGAAAAAGTTTAAGATTTCACCAAAAAGACAAGTCCTAGGTAAGAGAGGTGAGCCAAGAGCAACTTAAGTACCAAGTCTTGCCTAGCCAGAGTTGTCTTACTACTTGACCAATTCAAAAGAGATTCACTATTGAATTAAAAAGTTGACTTAAAACAAGCAAAGATGAAAGCTAAAAACACCTAGATTCCTAATTTCGGACTTCTAATGTGACAAAGCTTAGAGTTTAATCTCTTGTAGCCTAAGTCTCTCCTAATCACGTGAGACAAAGACACAACAAGATTAAATCCTATGGTGAGGCTTGTAGCTTTGGCTAATTAGACACACTCACCAACTAAACCAAGTTAAATTCAAACAAAGAAAAGAAACTTGCCAAAAGATGAAAAAACACCAAGGACTCTTCCAAAACACTTGGTCTGAATGGCCTTTTACAAGGAAACTAAAAGGCAATTAAAACTAAAACTGACTACAAGCTAATAACACCAAATCAGATGCAAATATATACAATCTGCTACGCTGAGCAGTCTCTTCAGGCACTGAGCACCGGCATCATGTCTGTTCTGATCTGTGTTCCAGGTTGTACTTTCACAGCTTCGTGATTCTGCTGCTGTGTTCAGAAGCTGTGAAATTACTTGGACCGAGAGACATGCTAAGGCTCCAAAAAGGAAGTGCTGTTGCTGCTGTATTCATGGTTTTCAGCTCACAAACCTACACTACATTCTGCAGTTTTGCCTTTCTTCTAGCTTTCCAAGTCAATCTGCACAAATAAAACTAACCAGCAATCCAGAATCACATTTAACGTGTAATAGACGCAATTGAATGTTCTATTCTGACTTTCAGTGACATCTAAGAATAGGAAAGTATTCAATTGCAGTCACACAACTCATTTAACCATGAAGTCAGAATTTTAGAAACCACTCTCTAAAGAATTTGGATGTTTGCACCAGCAACTTTCTCTTGGGTTGTAGACACGCAAATTCATAAACACTCTGCTGTGTGACTTTTCTCTCAGATTTTAGCTACTCCAGTTCCCAATTCCACCACTGTTTTGCTGCTGTTTTATCGGGTTAACTTTCATGCTTACACCATCCAAGGTCCAATCTGCATACTTATGTCACACCAAAGCCCGTAGGTACACACAATACTAACAATGGTAAGTCGTAAATAAAAAGGCAATTAAGAAACAAAGAATGCAGTGGTAGTTGTCCCTCTCGGTCAACACAGAAACTGAAACAGATTCAGGATTTTAATGTTAGACACTCTCTCTCGGCCAAGGATAGTTGGCTTTAGATGCAGCCACTCAAAGCTCACTATATGCACTGTTTTAAGGTGTTTGTAACTCTCCAAACTTGCTCACACAACTACAGCACCAGCTCTCAAAACAGAATTGATTTATATCAGATTTTCACTGCTACAGCCTCCACCCCCTAAGATGCTACCTTAGGTTTGGATTCTTGCAAGCACCCAAGTCTGCACCACAAGGAAGTGAAAGACACCACAAACCAAGCTAAAAAATATGACCAATGGAACAGTGCACCCGAGAAGAAAATTTGAAGCTGAAACAGATTTCACTATTTGACAAAACAAGAATTTCAATAACACAAGCAATGAAAAAGGGTTTACAAACAAGATGGCACTCAAATAGAACCTATGATCAGATCTAGAACAGATTAATAAAGCAAGAAACCATGTTAAGTTGAACCAGATTCCAAAAGCAAAGATTATAATGCTGAAGAATAAAACTGTTTGATGAAATGCCTGAATAAAACAAGCACAACTGCAGATTTTTGGTTTTTCTGATTTGAGGTTCCTATATTGAACTGCACAGGTCTGATCTGCTTCTTACTTTTTATAACACCTTTAACAACTTGTTTTAATCACATTTACAGACCTTAAGCTCTTGCTACAGTTCAATATGATTCACAAATGCAACAGATTTCACAGTTCAGCAAAAACTGGTTCAACTTATACGAAATAAGCACAGCTTGGTGGTTTTGAAAGTGAAAATTCGATCTAGCTACAATTACTCAATTCTGAACTTTCTAGCACTTTTGTTATGACTAATAAACTTTGTTTGGACCAAGAGAGTGCACGAAAACAGCAGCTAGAATGTATTCTAAGATTTCATACTCAAACAGCAAAATATGCAGTCAAGAGGACTCATTAAACCACCACTTCTGTGTTTACCAGATTCAAATGGCTAGGCAGCAAGGCAAACTGCATCAGATTTAACTGTGCACATGACTTGACAAAACAGAATTTGAGATTTAAACTGAAATGACTCAAACAAAGTGAAATCACTGAATAAAATGAGAAAGCAAACTTGATCAAATACAATAAACCTTCAAACATTAAACAGAAATCCTAATTGACCAAACAAACTCAATGAAACAGTGAATGAAACATGAATACAGCAAGACAACGCAGGAAACAATTAAACAACAAAATGGGAAGAAATGACTTAGTTCAAACTCTGGAAACTCGGAACCTGGGCTCTGATACCACATGATGGAAGAGGCTCCAGGCTAATCCATGCGCAGAACTGGAAATGAACCTTCAAAGAGTATCTTCCAGAGTAAACTGACGCAGCAGCGGAAATCTTATTATGAAATAGAGGTAAAGCGGTGTTCAGTGGCTAAAGAAAATAGCTCTACTCCAAGGATGGATTAGAATCTATGAGCAAACGTGAACAAACAGAAACTCGAAAGGAGGCAGGGAAAGAAGCACAAACAGAATTGAAGATCGAAGGAGGTGGCTCGGTGAAAGGGGTTGGTGCTCGTGGAGTGTCTAGGTGCCCAGCTAGAATTCCTAACTAAGGAAGGGTGGCTAGAGGAGGCTGAGGTCTCTCTCTGGCCGGGGACAGTGAGCAAAATGAATCTAGAGTCGTCTCAATGGCAATTCATTACACAAAACTCAAAGTAGATACAATGGGGTGGGAGAGGTGGATTTATGGAATGATCCAAGTCTCCCCATGGTGCCTAACTACTAGCCTGATGATCAGGCACCTCTCAAGGATCAATTGACACGTAACAGCCACATTTTACATGCATGGATCACGTGAAAAGCAATCTAGAACATGTGGGTGCATAATGGCTGCCAGCACTGAGCTAGGGGCTAGCACTGGGTGCGAGCTCGCTGGGCAAGCTTCCTGCTGCACTGGACGAGGCCAGCCTCTCCAAAGTGAGAATTTTCCTCACTTCTTCCTCTTTTGATGCACCTTTACGTCCTTCTTGGAGTTTCCTGACCATGCTTCAAGTTATAGGTCCTTGAATGGAGTTTGGGCTTGGACCCAAGTCATCACATCATTACTGACAAGGCAATCTCAGTAATGTAGTAATTTGTACACTTTACTCTCATCAACGATTCTACAAAAATTACCTTTAACTAAAGAGGTTTTGTTGATAAGTACTGCTACATGATTCATATAATAATTCATAGTGTTGAAATTGCTGTCAACTAATTTGCAGAATAATTCTCAATTGTTTTAAAAAATACTTCATAGTGCTTCAAGATGTAGGGAGAAGTACACAAACATTTATTGGGCAATTTCCTTTCAGGTTATAAAAGACAGTAACATTTGGGTGATGTGAAGGATTTGCTTGAGTGAAGGGTTAGACCATAGCACCGCTTTTGGATACCATGTCTCAGAAGCAAATATGGCATTGCCATAATCTGTGATTAATAAAGTATAAGAATCAACCAAAGAAAGATAATTACCACATGAAATCACGAATCAAGAGAGCACGTGGAAGCATAAGCCCATTTCCAAGCATGGCAAGCAACATCGAAAAAGCTGACAAGCCTTTCATGTTCTCGGGATTGAGATAATTTGTCCACTGTGGCAGAATAAAAAGGTTAATAGAAACAATGGAGATAAAACTTGAATTACACAGCTTGATGCAATTAAGATTCTAAAATATAAAGTTTACCAATTGAGAAACTGGCATCCACATGAAGAGTAGTGTAGCTGTCCATCCAGATATTCCTCCAACGAATTTAACACCTTTCTCAGAAAGTTTTCCAGTTCTGGCCTGCAAATTGTAGAGCAGAGCGTTTAGAATGACAACGACACTGAAATCCTATTTACAATTCCACAGGTTTCAATCTAGAAAAAAGATCCCAAATTCAAATTTCCTACTTTCAGTAAACAAATATCATGCCATTTGATCACATCAACTAGAAAATCCCATTTTGGCATTGCCTTTAATTGCATGGGTTCGTGAAATAAGTTATGTGAAAAATCAATGGAGTTTTGTGTTGCACTGATAAGGGTGTGATGGTATGAGCACAAGCATTGGTACGGTACGAAACCTGGATTTAGCACTAATCCATAATCAAAGTTAATTCAAAGGGAATAAGAAGATTACCAATGTAACAGCCAAGATAGCAATCACAAAGGCAGTTGCCCCAGGTAAGATGCTGTTAGGTAAATAGGGAACAAATGTAGACCACATTATCTGCATTCAGATTAGAAATTAGGAAGTGTAAGATAAGTAGTAAAAGTTATAGAATAATGATTGATTTGCATGAAAATATATTATGTGAATTGGCACGTGTACTTGACAGTGTCATTACAAATTAATATGATGTTGAAATTAGGGTGAGAAAAGGAAAGACTATTACTTGTGGAAGCACTGAAAGACCCCCAATTGTAATGAAATCTTCCCAAAAGCGCCAGAGTCCATCATTTAGTAAACCAAAGTAATTCAAGAAATTCAGAACAAGACCAGACATCACAACAACTGAAGTAGCCAAAAAGTAAGGCAAAGGCATGGCTTCAGCCAGTGCCAGCTGAACAAGGACAACATATGTTGAAACCACACCCAATGTCTGAACTACAACCGCCTCCTTTTCTCTTTTCTTGGCAAAGTATGAAAGTAGAGACAGATTCCCAAGCAGACTAGTTAACATTCCCTGCATTAACACCCATGTCATTTAACCACTTCATATCATAGCACAATTTAGAAAGGCAATTAAACAAGAGTCAGTTTTCACTTTTGAAAATAAAAATACAAAATAAACCGTCATTTTGGCCTCTAATAATGTATGGCACTGTTACATTGGTCCTTCTAAATAAAACCAAGTAAATTTCAAATAAGGTTATGAAAGTTTCAATTGTTTCATCATCAAAGTCAAAGAACATCAACAAGAGCTATATAGGAGCTATATAGTTTTGATCCATACACACAAACACATACAAATTCATATACATGGGCGTGTGCATGTGTTAGTATTCACATCTTAATTAATTTAGGACTAGTGCATTAGACAGATTGCATTCGAGGACTTGTTTAAAATAAGTTTAAGTTTCAGTTAACTTTTCTGTTTGTCAATTTCATAGGTTAGTCTCCTTTACTTCTCATCACTGTAATTGCCATATAAAGACAATTTCTCTTGAAAATCACATGCATTCGTATAATTCAACAAAATACACGCAAATCAGCATCACACATTTTCTTTGAGATCTCAAAACTTCAAAAGTCCGAGCAATGGTTTACCAGCCAGGGGATAGCAGAGAGAGCGGTTTTGTTTCCGGATAAAAGGTTTCGAGCATTGAGTATGATTTGCGGCATTTGCAGTAACAGAAACGGAATATTGGCGGCGGCCGAGAATTTCGATGTGAGCGAATCCCATTGCTGGTAGCTTTGGCTTCTGCCAAAGCAACTGATCCCTTCGAACAGTGCTCAGAGTTAATCAACGAGATAAAAGCAACAACGTAGTGCGCACTGGAAGAGGTACCTGGTTCGGAGCGTCGGCGCCTGTCCTTGGTAAAGTAGCGAATAGAGGGACACTTGAATCGCGCCAGATATAGGGGATCGTGCCAGAGGCGTTGCGCCAGAGAGAATAGGGCACGGTGGTCGCGAACGAAGACAAACACAGCACGGTGACCTTGAACCGAACAGAACAAGTGTGGTGGTTGAGTGAAGCGGTGCGGTGGTGCTCGACCTGAACAGAACGGATGACGGTGGCCGTGAAGGAAGTGAAGCGACGCGGTGGTGATCCAACCAAACAGCGATGGAAGAACGGCGCGGCGCGAGCAGCGATCTCGAGCGACGATGTGGTACGACGCTGGCAGTAGTCGCCGGCGACGGTGTGGCCAGTGAGGCTGGCATTGTGGGGAGAGGCTAAGGTTGTTTCAAAAATGTTTTCTGAATAAGATAAGTAATAAGTATAAATAATAATGATAAATATATAAAATAAATAGAGTTAAGATATTTCTTTCTTTTTCTGAACCTTCCTTTCTGCTATCTTCACATCCCTCTACATTTAGGCTATATGGGCTGGACATGAACCATTCCAGTTTACCTTCTAGAACTTTTTGTTTATGTTAACACTCCATTGTACTTACTCTATATTTTTGTTTTTTTTTTCAATGTTTCATATTTTAAATTACAGATTACGTTTTTACATTTTAATTACTGCAAAATCAAAATTACAAATTTTTATGATTAAATTAGAAAATTATTAATTAACATGTCAAATATTGAATTTGCATGATAATTAAAAAATTTGTATTTTATAAATTTTTATCTTGTTAAATCTTAGAATTACTTGATAATTATAAATTTCAAAATTATTAGGTATCATGTAAAATCTTAACTTTGTTTCATAATTAAAATTTTTGTTTTTATAAATTTTTTTATCATATCTCGAATTTACTTGGAAATTATAATTTTCAAAAATTAATAATTATCATGTAAAATTTGCTTGCCAAGTTTTCTTTATTATTTTTTAAATCTCAGATTCATTTGATATTATTTTAAAATAAAAAAATATTGATAAGAGGAATATTTTTTAAATATGAAATCATAAAAATGAAAGGAGTAGATGTTAAACTATGAGCATGATGGTAACAAATTTATTAAGATTAAATTCCAATTTGAAATTCAGTGCGTTTTNTGACAAAACAAGAATTTCAATAACACAAGCAATGAAAAAGGGCTTACAAACAAGATGGCACTCAAATAGAACCTATGATCAGATCTAGAACAGATTAATAAAGCAAGAAACCATGTTAAGTTGAACCAGATTCCAAAAGCAAAGATTATAATGCTGAAGAATAAAACTGTTTGATGAAATGCCTGAATAAAACAAGCACAACTGCAGATTTTTGGTTTTTCTGATTTGAGGTTCCTATATTGAACTGCACAGGTCTGATCTGCTTCTTACTTTTTATAACACCTTTAACAACTTGTTTTAATCACATTTACAGACCTTAAGCTCTTGCTACAGTTCAATATGATTCACAAATGCAACAGATTTCACAGTTCAGCAAAAACTGGTTCAACTTACACGAAACAAGCACAGCTTGGTGGTTTTGAAAGTGAAAATTCGATCTAGCTACAATTACTCAATTCTGAACTTTCTAGCACTTTTGTTATGACTAATAAACTTTGTTTGGACCAAGAGAGTGCACGAAAACAGCAGCTAGAATGTATTCTAAGATTTCATACTCAAACAGCAAAATATGCAGTCAAGAGGACTCATTAAACCACCACTTCTGTGTTTACCAGATTCAAATGGCTAGGCAGCAAGGCAAACTGCATCAGATTTAACTGTGCACATGACTTGACAAAACAGAATTTGAGATTTAAACTGAAATGACTCAAACAAAGTGAAATCACTGAATAAAATGAGAAAGCAAACTTGATCAAATACAATAAACCTTCAAACATTAAACAGAAATCGTAATTGACCAAACAAACTCAATGAAACAGTGAATGAAACATGAATACAGCAAGACAACGCAGGAAACAATTAAACAACAAAATGGGAAGAAATGACTTAGTTCAAACTCTGGAAACTCGGAACCTGGGCTCTGATACCACATGATGGAAGAGACTCCAGGCTAATCCATGCGCAGAACTGGAAATGAACCTTCAAAGAGTATCTTCCAGAGTAAACTGACGCAGCAGCGGAAATCTTATTATGAAATAGAGGTAAAGCGGTGTTCAGTGGCTAAAGAAAATAGCTCTACTCCAAGGATGGATTAGAATCTATGAGCAAACGTGAACAAACAGAAACTCGAAAGGAGGCAGGGAAAGAAGCACAAACAGAATTGAAGATCGAAGGAGGTGGCTCGGTGAAAGGGGTTGGTGCTCGTGGAGTGTCTAGGTGCCCAGCTAGAATTCCTAACTAAGGAAGGGTGGCTAGAGGAGGCTGAGGTCTCTCTCTGGCCGGGGACAGTGAGCAAAATGAATCTAGAGTCGTCTCAATGGCAATTCATTACACAAAACTCAAAGTAGATACAATGGGGTGGGAGAGGTGGATTTATGGAATGATCCAAGTCTCCCCATGGTGCCTAACTACTAGCCTGATGATCAGGCACCTCTCAAGGATCAATTGACACGTAACAGCCACATTTTACATGCATGGATCACGTGAAAAGCAATCTAGAACATGTGGGTGCATAATGGCTGCCAGCACTGAGCTAGGGGCTAGCACTGGGTGCGAGCTCGCTGGGCAAGCTTCCTGCTGCACTGGACGAGGCCAGCCTCTCCAAAGTGAGAATTTTCCTCACTTCTTCCTCTTTTGATGCACCTTTACGTCCTTCTTGGAGTTTCCTGACCATGCTTCAAGTTATAGGTCCTTGAATGGAGTTTGGGCTTGGACCCAAGTCATCACATCATTACTGACAAGGCAATCTCAGTAATGTAGTAATTTGTACACTTTACTCTCATCAACGATTCTACAAAAATTACCTTTAACTAAAGAGTTTTTGTTGATAAGTACTGCTACATGATTCATATAATAATTCATAGTGTTGAAATTGCTGTCAACTAATTTGCAGAATAATTCTCAATTGTTTTGAAAAATACTTGATAGTGCTTCAAGATGTAGGGAGAAGTACACAAACATTTATTGGGCAATTTCCTTTCAGGTTATAAAAGACAGTAACATTTGGGTGATGTGAAGGATTTGCTTGAGTGAAGCATAGCACCGCTTTTGGATACCATGTCTCAGAAGCAAATATGGCATTGCCATAATCTGTGATTAATAAAGTATAAGAATCAACCAAAGAAAGATAATTACCACATGAAATCACGAATCAAGAGAGCACGTGGAAGCATAAGCCCATTTCCAAGCATGGCAAGCAACATCGAAAAAGCTGACAAGCCTTTCATGTTCTCGGGATTGAGATAATTTGTCCACTGTGGCAGAATAAAAAGGTTAATAGAAACAATGGAGATAAAACTTGAATTACACAGCTTGATGCAATTAAGATTCTAAAATATAAAGTTTACCAATTGAGAAACTGGCATCCACATGAAGAGTAGTGTAGCTGTCCATCCAGATATTCCTCCAACGAATTTAACACCTTTCTCAGAAAGTTTTCCAGTTCTGGCCTGCAAATTGTAGAGCAGAGCGTTTAGAATGACAACGACACTGAAATCCTATTTACAATTCCACAGGTTTCAATCTAGAAAAAAGATCCCAAATTCAAATTTCCTACTTTCAGTAAACAAATATCATGCCATTTGATCACATCAACTAGAAAATCCCATTTTGGCATTGCCTTTAATTGCATGGGTTCGTGAAATAAGTTATGTGAAAAATCAATGGAGTTTTGTGTTGCACTGATAAGGGTGTGATGGTATGAGCACAAGCATTGGTACGGTACGAAACCTGGATTTAGCACTAATCCATAATCAAAGTTAATTCAAAGGGAATAAGAAGATTACCAATGTAACAGCCAAGATAGCAATCACAAAGGCAGTTGCCCCAGGTAAGATGCTGTTAGGTAAATAGGGAACAAATGTAGACCACATTATCTGCATTCAGATTAGAAATTAGGAAGTGTAAGATAAGTAGTAAAAGTTATAGAATAATGATTGATTTGCATGAAAATATATTATGTGAATTGGCACGTGTACTTGACAGTGTCATTACAAATTAATATGATGTTGAAATTAGGGTGAGAAAAGGAAAGACTATTACTTGTGGAAGCACTGAAAGACCCCCAATTGTAATGAAATCTTCCCAAAAGCGCCAGAGTCCATCATTTAGTAAACCAAAGTAATTCAAGAAATTCAGAACAAGACCAGACATCACAACAACTGAAGTAGCCAAAAAGTAAGGCAAAGGCATGGCTTCAGCCAGTGCCAGCTGAACAAGGACAACATATGTTGAAACCACACCCAATGTCTGAACTACAACCGCCTCCTTTTCTCTTTTCTTGGCAAAGTATGAAAGTAGAGACAGATTCCCAAGCAGACTAGTTAACATTCCCTGCATTAACACCCATGTCATTTAACCACTTCATATCATAGTACAATTTAGAAAGGCAATTAAACAAGAGTCAGTTTTCACTTTTGAAAATAAAAATACAAAATAAACCGTCATTTTGGCCTCTAATAATGTATGGCACTGTTACATTGGTCCTTCTAAATAAAACCAAGTAAATTTCAAATAAGGTTATGNCAAACAGCAAAATATGCAGTCAAGAGGACTCATTAAACCACCACTTCTGTGTTTACCAGATTCAAATGGCTAGGCAGCAAGGCAAACTGCATCAGATTTAACTGTGCACATGACTTGACAAAACAGAATTTGAGATTTAAACTGAAATGACTCAAACAAAGTGAAATCACTGAATAAAATGAGAAAGCAAACTTGATCAAATACAATAAACCTTCAAACATTAAACAGAAATCGTAATTGACCAAACAAACTCAATGAAACAGTGAATGAAACATGAATACAGCAAGACAACGCAGGAAACAATTAAACAACAAAATGGGAAGAAATGACTTAGTTCAAACTCTGGAAACTCGGAACCTGGGCTCTGATACCACATGATGGAAGAGACTCCAGGCTAATCCATGCGCAGAACTGGAAATGAACCTTCAAAGAGTATCTTCCAGAGTAAACTGACGCAGCAGCGGAAATCTTATTATGAAATAGAGGTAAAGCGGTGTTCAGTGGCTAAAGAAAATAGCTCTACTCCAAGGATGGATTAGAATCTATGAGCAAACGTGAACAAACAGAAACTCGAAAGGAGGCAGGGAAAGAAGCACAAACAGAATTGAAGATCGAAGGAGGTGGCTCGGTGAAAGGGGTTGGTGCTCGTGGAGTGTCTAGGTGCCCAGCTAGAATTCCTAACTAAGGAAGGGTGGCTAGAGGAGGCTGAGGTCTCTCTCTGGCCGGGGACAGTGAGCAAAATGAATCTAGAGTCGTCTCAATGGCAATTCATTACACAAAACTCAAAGTAGATACAATGGGGTGGGAGAGGTGGATTTATGGAATGATCCAAGTCTCCCCATGGTGCCTAACTACTAGCCTGATGATCAGGCACCTCTCAAGGATCAATTGACACGTAACAGCCACATTTTACATGCATGGATCACGTGAAAAGCAATCTAGAACATGTGGGTGCATAATGGCTGCCAGCACTGAGCTAGGGGCTAGCACTGGGTGCGAGCTCGCTGGGCAAGCTTCCTGCTGCACTGGACGAGGCCAGCCTCTCCAAAGTGAGAATTTTCCTCACTTCTTCCTCTTTTGATGCACCTTTACGTCCTTCTTGGAGTTTCCTGACCATGCTTCAAGTTATAGGTCCTTGAATGGAGTTTGGGCTTGGACCCAAGTCATCACATCATTACTGACAAGGCAATCTCAGTAATGTAGTAATTTGTACACTTTACTCTCATCAACGATTCTACAAAAATTACCTTTAACTAAAGAGGTTTTGTTGATAAGTACTGCTACATGATTCATATAATAATTCATAGTGTTGAAATTGCTGTCAACTAATTTGCAGAATAATTCTCAATTGTTTTAAAAAATACTTCATAGTGCTTCAAGATGTAGGGAGAAGTACACAAACATTTATTGGGCAATTTCCTTTCAGGTTATAAAAGACAGTAACATTTGGGTGATGTGAAGGATTTGCTTGAGTGAAGGGTTAGACCATAGCACCGCTTTTGGATACCATGTCTCAGAAGCAAATATGGCATTGCCATAATCTGTGATTAATAAAGTATAAGAATCAACCAAAGAAAGATAATTACCACATGAAATCACGAATCAAGAGAGCACGTGGAAGCATAAGCCCATTTCCAAGCATGGCAAGCAACATCGAAAAAGCTGACAAGCCTTTCATGTTCTCGGGATTGAGATAATTTGTCCACTGTGGCAGAATAAAAAGGTTAATAGAAACAATGGAGATAAAACTTGAATTACACAGCTTGATGCAATTAAGATTCTAAAATATAAAGTTTACCAATTGAGAAACTGGCATCCACATGAAGAGTAGTGTAGCTGTCCATCCAGATATTCCTCCAACGAATTTAACACCTTTCTCAGAAAGTTTTCCAGTTCTGGCCTGCAAATTGTAGAGCAGAGCGTTTAGAATGACAACGACACTGAAATCCTATTTACAATTCCACAGGTTTCAATCTAGAAAAAAGATCCCAAATTCAAATTTCCTACTTTCAGTAAACAAATATCATGCCATTTGATCACATCAACTAGAAAATCCCATTTTGGCATTGCCTTTAATTGCATGGGTTCGTGAAATAAGTTATGTGAAAAATCAATGGAGTTTTGTGTTGCACTGATAAGGGTGTGATGGTATGAGCACAAGCATTGGTACGGTACGAAACCTGGATTTAGCACTAATCCATAATCAAAGTTAATTCAAAGGGAATAAGAAGATTACCAATGTAACAGCCAAGATAGCAATCACAAAGGCAGTTGCCCCAGGTAAGATGCTGTTAGGTAAATAGGGAACAAATGTAGACCACATTATCTGCATTCAGATTAGAAATTAGGAAGTGTAAGATAAGTAGTAAAAGTTATAGAATAATGATTGATTTGCATGAAAATATATTATGTGAATTGGCACGTGTACTTGACAGTGTCATTACAAATTAATATGATGTTGAAATTAGGGTGAGAAAAGGAAAGACTATTACTTGTGGAAGCACTGAAAGACCCCCAATTGTAATGAAATCTTCCCAAAAGCGCCAGAGTCCATCATTTAGTAAACCAAAGTAATTCAAGAAATTCAGAACAAGACCAGACATCACAACAACTGAAGTAGCCAAAAAGTAAGGCAAAGGCATGGCTTCAGCCAGTGCCAGCTGAACAAGGACAACATATGTTGAAACCACACCCAATGTCTGAACTACAACCGCCTCCTTTTCTCTTTTCTTGGCAAAGTATGAAAGTAGAGACAGATTCCCAAGCAGACTAGTTAACATTCCCTGCATTAACACCCATGTCATTTAACCACTTCATATCATAGCACAATTTAGAAAGGCAATTAAACAAGAGTCAGTTTTCACTTTTGAAAATAAAAATACAAAATAAACCGTCATTTTGGCCTCTAATAATGTATGGCACTGTTACATTGGTCCTTCTAAATAAAACCAAGTAAATTTCAAATAAGGTTATGAAAGTTTCAATTGTTTCATCATCAAAGTCAAAGAACATCAACAAGAGCTATATAGGAGCTATATAGTTTTGATCCATACACACAAACACATACAAATTCATATACATGGGCGTGTGCATGTGTTAGTATTCACATCTTAATTAATTTAGGACTAGTGCATTAGACAGATTGCATTCGAGGACTTGTTTAAAATAAGTTTAAGTTTCAGTTAACTTTTCTGTTTGTCAATTTCATAGGTTAGTCTCCTTTACTTCTCATCACTGTAATTGCCATATAAAGACAATTTCTCTTGAAAATCACATGCATTCGTATAATTCAACAAAATACACGCAAATCAGCATCACACATTTTCTTTGAGATCTCAAAACTTCAAAAGTCCGAGCAATGGTTTACCAGCCAGGGGATAGCAGAGAGAGCGGTTTTGTTTCCGGATAAAAGGTTTCGAGCATTGAGTATGATTTGCGGCATTTGCAGTAACAGAAACGGAATATTGGCGGCGGCCGAGAATTTCGATGTGAGCGAATCCCATTGCTGGTAGCTTTGGCTTCTGCCAAAGCAACTGATCCCTTCGAACAGTGCTCAGAGTTAATCAACGAGATAAAAGCAACAACGGAGTGCGCACTGGAAGAGGTACCTGGTTCGGAGCGTCGGCGCCTGTCCTTGGTAAAGTAGCGAATAGAGGGACACTTGAATCGCGCCAGATATAGGGGATCGTGCCAGAGGCGTTGCGCCAGAGAGAATAGGGCACGGTGGTCGCGAACGAAGACAAACACAGCACGGTGACCTTGAACCGAACAGAACAAGTGTGGTGGTTGAGTGAAGCGGTGCGGTGGTGCTCGACCTGAACAGAACGGATGACGGTGGCCGTGAAGGAAGTGAAGCGACGCGGTGGTGATCCAACCAAACAGCGATGGAAGAACGGCGCGGCGCGAGCAGCGATCTCGAGCGACGATGTGGTACGACGCTGGCAGTAGTCGCCGGCGACGGTGTGGCCAGTGAGGCTGGCATTGTGGGGAGAGGCTAAGGTTTTTTCAAAAATGTTTTCTGAATAAGATAAGTAATAAGTATAAATAATAATGATAAATATATAAAATAAATAGAGTTAAGATATTTCTTTCTTTTTCTGAACCTTCCTTTCTGCTATCTTCACATCCCTCTACATTTAGGCTATATGGGCTGGACATGAACCATTCCAGTTTACCTTCTAGAACTTTTTGTTTATGTTAACACTCCATTGTACTTACTCTATATTTTTGTTTTTTTTTTCAATGTTTCATATTTTAAATTACAGATTACGTTTTTACATTTTAATTACTGCAAAATCAAAATTACAAATTTTTATGATTAAATTAGAAAATTATTAATTAACATGTCAAATATTGAATTTGCATGATAATTAAAAAATTTGTATTTTATAAATTTTTATCTTGTTAAATCTTAGAATTACTTGATAATTATAAATTTCAAAATTATTAGGTATCATGTAAAATCTTAACTTTGTTTCATAATTAAAATTTTTGTTTTTATAAATTTTTTTATCATATCTCGAATTTACTTGGAAATTATAATTTTCAAAAATTAATAATTATCATGTAAAATTTGCTTGCCAAGTTTTCTTTATTATTTTTTAAATCTCAGATTCATTTGATATTATTTTAAAATAAAAAAATATTGATAAGAGGAATATTTTTTAAATATGAAATCATAAAAATGAAAGGAGTAGATGTTAAACTATGAGCATGATGGTAACAAATTTATTAAGATTAAATTCCAATTTGAAATTCAGTGCGTTTTGTTTTTCTTAATTTCACTTTTGCGACAAGTGATAAATCAGAATGACAATATCATGTTTATAATTTTGATAAAATCATAGAAATGAAAGGAGTATAAGTTAAACTATGAGAGTGATGGTAACAAATTTATTAAGTTTAAATTCCAATTTGAAATTCAGTGCGTTTTATTTTTCTTAATTTCACTTTTGCGACAAATGATAAATCAGAATGACAACATCATGTAGACAAGTTGGAGATGTGAATTGCTTAAAATAAACTTACATGATGTGATTTACTTTAGAAAATAATTTTCTGGTTCAATTGATAGCTAACAGGTTCATTATGACTAGTTTACTAATTTCTAGTTGATTTTTAATTAGTTGGTATATCAATGGAGTTCTTCTTGGAAACTACTCAATATTCTGCAATCTGCTCAAATTTAGAAGATGTGTAATTTGTTAGAATATTTTTATTATTTTTACAAAAATGAAATGAAAATATGTTTATTAATATGAAACATTCGAAAGGGAACGAGCATTTGTCTCTTTTCTGAATAAGAGGACATAGTTAACACCAACAATTTTCTTTGTTCATAACTCTCTTCAATAATTTGTTCTTGTTAAAACATTTAATAATATGTGCAGGAGCTTCACTTTTTGTTGTATTTTGACGTTGGTTATATCTAGGAAGGTGAAAAGTATATTCCGAAATATTATTTTCAGCAAAAAATATGTTTTTAGAATTATTTTTAAGAGCTTACTTTAGAAATCCATTTTCTCTTCTAGAAGAAAATATTTTCGGACAACTTAATAGTCAAAATATCAAATATGCCTCGAGACAAACTACTAATTCTAAAATTTTTACTTATTGAACCATTTCATGGGCACGCTAGTTGCATCATGGGGTGCAAGTTTAGGACTGGGTGCAGATTGGTTCCACATGGAGCATATAGTTTGGGCTGAGATTTGGTCATAATGGTCATGCATGGGTGTTTTGGAGGGCTGGTTGGGTTATTGGTTCTCTTCTATGCAGGGAGTGTTTCATGGACTATAGGTTGCTGGTTTGTTTTAAGTAGATATGGGCACTTGAGTTTGGTGAATGAATATGGATTAAGGTAAAAGAGAAAGGGTACATGGGTAAATAAGAGACTGAGATTCGAGTGTTATCATTTCCTCTTTGGAAAAGATAAAGATGGATGAATGTCTCACCCTTAGAATTTTGACGTATGTTGAGTATAGTGCCGAAGGGAACAGTTCAGAGTTTTACTTATAAGTTTTTGAGGATTAAGGGAGATAGAACTGAAATTGCAGCGGAGGACGACTTAAATCATTTTGTTTTGGTAAACATGAATAGTACAATGAAGTATCAAAAAAGACATATCACTAGTACAAAAACATTGTATAACGTCGGTATTTTTTGGCCTATCACATCGAATTCGAGGCCGGCGTCATATCGAGAGACATTAAATTGATGTAAAGAATTCGACGTTAATTGACGTTGGACATAGAACAATCTAACGTCAGACATAGAGCAAATTGACGTATGTTGCATTTATAACCGCCGTCAATTTATGGCTTTTTTATAAAAAAAATCGTCAATATTTTCTTCCACTGAAACCATGAAAAATCAATATTCAACACAAGAATACACCACAAAAATTTCCAGAATTTTAGAGGCAGTAACNCAAAAATTAATAATTATCATGTAAAATTTGCTTGCCAAGTTTTCTTTATTATTTTTTAAATCTCAGATTCATTTGATATTATTTTAAAATAAAAAATATTGATAAGATGAATATTTTTTTAAAATAATCTTATTTAAAAATTAAATAATTTAAACTTTTTAGTTTTTAAAATATGATTCTTATTGGAAAAATAAAATAAAATAAATTCTTATAGGTGGAGGGATGGGAAGACGGAGAGTTATTTGTATCTCGAAAAGAATACACGTTAATTCGCTCTTTATTTTTGCAACCGAGTCTTCCTTACCGCCAACTCAAATTCCCTTCTCCTTCCAACTTTATTATTATGTATTCATTTATTAAAATAAATTAATATTGCCACGTGGAAACTACTTTACCCTATAAACTATTGAAAAAAATAAATAAATATACATATAAGTTTTTTTTAGTTAGTATATTTTAGCAAAGTGTATCAGTTTTAGTAGACCAAAATACTCCCATATATTATATAGATTATAAGTTTTAAGGTTAAGGGTATTTAAATAATTTTCATTCTTAAAACTAAAAAAAACAAGAAACCCACGAATCTTTACTCATATCTCTCTCATCCCTTATTCCTCTTAACTTTTCTCATTCATTTATCTCACTCCAACTTTCTCTCTGTCATCATACAGTCACTCCAACTGAAAAAATCATAAACACTCACCTAATCCTAATTCACCTTCCTCACTCCTCCAATTTGTTTATCTCTCATGTTCATCCTCTCTCACATCCACGTACAGCAACCTGTGACATTGCAATTTGTTGTTATTATTATGTTTGTTCATTTGTTTTTTATTTTTAATAAAAAAATAATTGATGATGTTGATGTTGATTTTTTATTGAAGGGTTGTGTTGTATCTTTTCCCTTATGATTGTTATTAAATTTGTAAAGAACTAAAGTCTACAATAATTTCAACCCCACGAAAAGACATTACCATCAACCCATAATAGCTGCAAAACATTTAATTTCTTATTTAATTTCTTAATACCAATTTTGATGAAATCATAAAAATGAAAGGAGTAGAAGTTAAACTATGACCATGATGGTAACAAATTTATTAAGATTAAATTTCAATTTGAAATTCAGTTCGTTTTGTTTTTCTTCGACAAGTGATAAATCAAAATGACAACATCATGTTTATAATTTTGATAAAATCATAGAAATGAAAGGAGTA